TTTTTTTTTTTTTTTTTTTTTTTTTTTTTTTTTAGTAGAGACGGGGCTTTACCATGTTGGCCAGGCTGGTCTCAAACTCCTGACCTCAGGTGATCCACCTACCTTGGCCTCCCAAAGTGCTAGGATTATAGGTGTGAGCCATCATGCCCGGCCTTTTTCTTTGAGACAGGGTCTCACTTTTTCATCTAGGCTGTAGTGCAGTTGTGCAATCATAGCTCACTGAAGCCTCAGTCTCCCAGTCTTAAGGGATCCTCCTACCTCAGCCTTTCAAGTAGCTGGGACTACAGGCATATGTCATTTTGCCCTGATCATGTTTGTATTTTTTTGGTAAGGCAGGGTCTTGCTATGTTGCCCAGGCTGGTATGGAATCCCTGGGCTCAAGTGATCTGCCTGCCTTGATCTCCCAAAGAGGTGGGATTACAGGCATCAGCCACTGCTCCTGGCCTGTGTTTTATCTTAAGCAGAGCAAGTGCTTGAATGGTCCATCTACCTGCCCATCATACCTGGTGCTGAATGAGCTTGATACGATCAAGCATGTCATTCATTTTCATATCCTGCTCATCCACTGTCTTCTGAAGCTGCCTGTTTTCCTTGTCTGAATTTTCGAGCTTCCTTAGGGCTTCAGAGAGTTCTGATGACAACTCCTCCACCCGTTTTCTAAAGCAAAATAACAGCCACAGGAGGACAGACTTCAGTGCCCATGTGGGCAGACCGTGGAGCTGACCCCATGGGAAGTCGTTGCTCTCCAACTCTTGGGCAGCTGCTCAAGAGGGACAGAACCTCTCTCTGGAGGTGAGCCTGGCACCTGTTGGAGGTTTGTTCCTTCTCAGCCATCAAGGATTCCTTCTGCAGCTTCTGAAGTTCTCGCTGTAGTTCCTGGATGGTGTCTGCTTTCTGCTTGTCCAGGAGGAGGGAGTTCTGCAGTTTTCTCTGAGCGTCCTCCAGGTTACTGCCTGCCAGCGCCACCGCTTCTTTGCACTGGGCTGCTTGCTGAGCTACGGAAGCCGGGAGATGGCCATGTGAGACAGGAGGGTGTAGGAAAATCACACTCCTGTCAGCCTGGCTTAGCAGTTTTTCCTTTCATTTTGTGCCCTACTTCAGTTCCCAGTCTGTCCTCATTTCTCTCCATTTCACAATCAGTCCTAAAGAGCTCTGTTAAATTATCTGTCTTTGTCTACTCCTCAGCTGTGGACACCTTCTGGACTAAAATTAAACAAATTGGTAGAAATTTCTCAGTACCTCCTGTGTGACTCATCCTGCCGTTAGGGACAAATCCTGACTGTCCTGGAGTTTAGAGACTGCCGAGGGAGGCTTGCTGACCCACCGTCCTAGAGAACCCTGTCATGTTACATTCGCACAGACTGGCCTCAGAAGAGATCAACGTGGCTTAGAAAGCTTGGAGATGGATGAGCAGAGGAAGAGAAGCTGAGATGTAGAAGGAGGAGGAGGAAGGGAATTCCAGGAGTGGGGATTGTTAGAGCAGATGCCTGGTGAGGGGAATGGGAAGGTGTGTGGGAGGGTAGAAGACAGCAGTTTGACTGGAAAGGGAAGTGGGGAGGAACGGTGCGTGATAGAGTAGTGGATGGATGGCGGGGCTTTGGAGGGCTTTGGAAGCCTAAGAGAAATTCTTAGATGTGGTTTAGTGGGTTCTTCAGCAGGAATCCATCATAAAAAAAAAAAAAAAGTGCTTCAGGAAAATTGGAATGCATTAGAATGGAAAAAAACTTCCAGCAATATCCTTCAAGTCCATACTTTTACCTCCACTGGGTAAGAGGGGAAGGCAGCTACAAAGTCAGCGCTGAGGCTCCAAGTTTTGGAGTTACCTATAGAGAAAGTGAGCTACACAGAGGAGGGAGCTGACTGAAGAATGAGTAAGAGAGGAAGGAGAGTCTCTAGATGACTACAATCAAAGCAGGAGAGAAAAGAAAACAATGGGGAGGTTTGTGGGAGAATGATGTCTCCAAAGATGAGAAACAAGCTTTGAGGTGTGAGTAGCCAACAGCATCAAGGAACACAGCACTAAAGGAAGGTGAGGAAGAAAGCCAGGCTTGGATCTTATCTTATAAATTGACAAGTAATTCATATAACATAAATTTAGCCTCCCCCTCTTTCTTTTTATGAGACAGAGTCTCACTCTATTGCCCAGCCTCGAGTGCACCGGCATGATCTCAGCTCACTGTAACCTTGACTTCTTAGGCTCAAGTGATCCTCCCACCTCAGCCTCCCATGTAGCTGGGACTACAGGTGCACGCCACCATGCCTGGCTAATTTTTGTATGTTTTGTAGAGATGCAGTTTTGCCATGTTGCCCAGGCTGGTCTTGCACTCCTCGGCTCAAGTAATCTGCCCACCTCCGCCTCCCAAAGTGCTGAGATTATAGGTGTGAGCCACCATGCCTGGCAAATTTATCCTTTTAAAGTGTACAATTTAGTGGGTTTTTTTTTTTTTTTGATGCTCAAAAAGTCATGCAACCATCACCAATATCTAATTTCAGAACATTTTCATTGCCCCACAGAAACGCTGTACCCAAAGCAAGACCTCTGAGAAAGCAGACTCTGTGGAGGGACAAGGACATCATCCACAGTGCACGCCGCATAGAATGTATTTGGGGGCAAGAAGGAGAAAGGGAAGAAAAAGCTAGGGAAGGAAGAAGTGAATTGTGTGATGAGGGCCTGGAGAAGCTGGAGAGGAATATGGTGTAAAGGACAGAGCCCTGCCTTCCTGTGGCCAGGAAGGCAGGGTCTTCAGGCAGACTGCTGGGAGAATGGTGGGGGAGGTGGGGTGACTCCAGAGAGCAGGTGAGTTTGGGAGTGGGTGAAGGAATTCAAGAGGGCAGTGGCCACTGCTGTGAGGTACTGGATGAGCCCCTGAGAAGGTCTGCAGTGAGTCATTGGAGGAGGGGGAGGGGAAGTGGCCACTGGGAGAGAGAAGGTGGCTGTTCTAGCCCCAAGAAAAATGTGGTAGGGACAGCACCTGCGGGGGGCCTCACCAGCCAGCCTCTGCTGCTGCTTGGCCTCTTCTAGACTGTTCTTCAGCTTCTGGACCTCTGTCTGCAGGGCCTCGCACTCCACATCCTTGGACTTGTCCTGCTTAGCCTCCCTGATGGTCATTTCAAGTTCTGTGGTCACGCACTGCTGCTTCTCCAGCTCCTTTTCCTTTTTCAGGAGGCAGTTCTGAACCTGTGCCAGTTTCTTCTCCAGCTCACACAGCATTTCATCTTTCTCTTGGAGGAACTGAAGAGAGCAAAGCGCAAATGCTGAGACAGGTCTGAGCGGCAGTGGGTGAAGGCAGTGAGAGGTTGTCTCAAGCCCTCATCCAAGACAGCGGCACCCCCTGCCTGGACCTTGCACGAACCTCCCTGCCTCCCCTCCTGTTCCCCTCAGGCTATTCTACACATAGTCGAGAGAGGGAGTCTTTATTATTATTTTTGAGATGGAGTCTCTCTCGCTCACCCAGACTGGAGTGCAGTGGCATGATCTTGGCTCACCGCAACCTCCCAGGTTCATGTGATTCTCTGGCCTCAGCCTCCCAAGTAGTTGGGATGACAGGTGTCTGCCACCACGCCCAGCTAATATTTGTATTTTATAGTAGAGATGGGGCCTCACCATTTTGGCCACGCTGGTCTCGAATTCCCAACTTCAAGTTATCCACCTGCCTCGGCCTCCCAAAGTGTTGAGATTACAGGTGTGAGCTACCGTGCCCAGCCTTTTATTATTTTAGTTGAGTTTAGTTTTAGTTTTTGATGCAGGTTCTCACTCTGTTGCTCAGACTGGAATGCAGTGGTACGATCGTAGCTCAATGCAACCATGACCTCCTAGACTCAATTGATCATCCCACCTCAGCCTCCCTGTTATAGCAGGGGCTAGTCAGATGTGAGCAGGGCAGGAGAGGGCTTCCCTGCCACATACACCAGGGTTGTCAGGCGACCATCAGGTGATGGTCAGGAGGTTAATTGTCTCTCTAAAGTAATAATTGTTCACAGCTGGTGCCAGGGAAAGGCCGTCTCCGAATAGATAGAAAACACCTGACACTGGGATCAGCGGATTCCTGGTAAGATCTCAGGAGTTGGGAGAGTGGTGAGAAGTAACGCAGGACCCCAGAAGTAGGCCACGTTATAAAACCCCAAGACAAGGGGTCAAATGGCACACTTGGTCTCTCAAGCCACCCCCTTCACTCTCTTTCAAGTGTACTTTCCTTCCTTTCACTACCACTCTAAGGCTTTTAAAATACGTTCACTCCTTCCTGCTCTGAAATGTGCCTCAGTCTCTCCTTCTGCCTAATGCCCCTCAGTCAAATTCTTTCTTCTGAGGAGGCAAGATTTGAGACGATAATGGATAACTACCACTGCTAACATCCTGAGTAGCTGGAACTACAGGCGTGTGCCACCACACTCAGCTAGTTTAAAAATTTTTTGCAGAGATGGGGGTCTCGCCATGTTGCCCAGGCTGGTCTCAGTCTCCTGAGCTCAAGTGATCCTCCTACCTTGGCTTCGCAAAGTTCTGAGATTACAGGCATGAACCACTGCGTCCAGCCAGAGAGGGGGGTCTTAAAAGTGCAAGTCAGATCTTTTGCCTCAGCTCAAAATCCTCCACTGGCTTCCATCTCTTAGAAAAAGGAGGAAGTCCTTACAATCACCCCATGGTCTGGTCCTAGGCTACCTGTCTGACCTCAACCTTTGCCACCCCCACCCCTCTCTGCTTCCACTGATCTCCTAGAACAGTCCAAGCAGACTCCACCTTAGGATCTTTGCATTTGCTGTTCCCTCTGCTTGGAATATTCTTCCTGAAGACCTCTGCCTGGGTGGCTCCCTCACTTCCTTCAAATCTCTGCCCAAATGTCACCTTATCAGAAAGGACTTCTCTGACCATCCTGTGTAAAACCGCCACCAAGCTGTTTGAGGGATTTATCAGTGTCTGACATGGATATGTCAGTATTATGTATTAATTTTGTTTACTGGCTATCTCCCCCCACAGGAGTGTAAGCTCCACAAGAGGAGGGATGTTGCAGGTTTTACATATTCTTAGCATTGAGAACAGTGCTTGGCATATCTTAGGGCTCAAAATATTTGTGGAGTGAATATACGAATGACTCGAGGCTGTTTAGCCAGACTCCATGCCTTGTCATCGTCTCTCCAAATGCCTCTGTTTTGATGGGCATATCTCCTCTGTGCCTTGAAACAGGAGGTTTTCATGACCAGCCAGTCTATCAACTGGATTCTTCTTCTCTTTGAGACTGAGTTTTGCTCTTGTTGCCCAGGCTGGAGGGCAGTGGGGCAATCTCAGCTCACTGCAACCTCCCCTCCTGGCTTCAAGCCATTGAAGCCAGGAGGGGAGGCTGAAGCCAGGAGGGGAGGTTGCAGTGCGCTGAGATTGCCCCTGAGCCTCCCAAGTAGCTGGGATTACAGGTGTGCACCACCATTCCCGGCTAATTTTGTAATTTTCTTTTTTTTAGTAGAGATGGGGTTTCACCATGTTGGTCAGGCTGGTCTCTAACTCCTGACCTCAAGGGATCCACCCGCCTCAGCCTCCCAAAATGCTGCAATTAAAAGCATAAGCCACCGTGCCCAGCCCTCAACTGGATTATTTCTAATAGCTCTGACAGAAGTTCAGAGTCAGAAAAGTACTGACTATAAAAGTTTGCATTGGTTTCACGAGCTTTCTGTTCTTGGTTCAATTTCTAGACTTTTCTAGGAACTTGATTTATGTTGGCAGCAATAGTTCTTTTAGGGCACAGCTCCGTTAATATTGTCAAACTGCCTATTTACATATTCATAAGATATTTGTAATTTTTTGTTTTGTGTTTTGTTTTTGTTTTTTGAGACAGGGTCTCATTCTAGTGTCCAGGCTAAAGTGCACAGCATGATCACGACTCACTGCAGCCTCCACCTCCTGGGCTCAAGTGATCCTCTGGCTTCAGCCTCCTAAGTAACTGGGACTACAGGTGTATGCCACCATGCCCAGGTACTTTGTATTATTTGTAGAGACAGGGTCTCATCATGTGGCCCAGGCTAGTCTCAAACTCCTGGGCTCAAGAGATCTCCCCACCTCGGCCTCCTAAAGTGCTGGAATTGCAGGCGTGAGCCACTGGGCCCAGCCAGATGTTTGTAATTTCAAAAGTGAAATTCACTTGAAATTCTCAATAAGGCTACCTGTTATTTTATATCATTTCCTTCCACTATCAAGCATAAAAAGAGTATAAGGGAACAATGCAAGTAACTGTGTCCCAAATGCTCCTGCTACCTTGCAGGGCTTGGGAAAAGTCAGTGCCTCTGTTATGGTCCCTGCGTAATCAGATTAATTTATTTCGTGTGATGAGAAATACCAAAACAATGCTGAGAATTGCGCCTGGGCCTGAAGAGCCCACTGTCTCATTGTGCTTGTGTTGAGGCTCCCGAAGCAATCACCACAGGTGAAGGCAGAACTGGTTCTTGCCAGGGCGTGGCCTCACAGCTGCCTCCAACTAGAGTTCCTCACTTTACCTTGTCTTTCTTCAAAGCGAGCTTTTGGGTTTCGGCGAACTGCAGCTGCAGCTCCTGCAGGTGGCACTGCAGGATGGCAAGGTCCTTATCCTTCCTCTCGATGTGGGCAGATGTCTCCTCCCGTAGCCCATGCAGGTCCAGCTCCAGCTTCATCATGTCTACCATGGGGCAGGACAGAGTGCTATGCTCAGAGGAGGGCTGGGCTTCCTTATGGCTCCCCTGCCACTACAGCCGGCAGCCCTGGTTTACCTTTCAAGATGTTTTTCTTCTGTTCCGACACGGCCTCTAGTTCCATGCGCAGGTCCTTCACCAGGTTCTGGTACTCCTCCACGTGCAGGCACTGGCTGTCTTTCTGCTCCTGCAAGTGCTTCAGGATCTAGCAGACCAAAGAACAGGGCAGGATGAGGAGGTGGGGGAGAATGGATAATGCTTTCTAAAATGCCCAGTGTCTACACGCAACAGTCGGTAGGGCATAGTAATAAAGTAATGGTTGCTGGGGGCCAGGGGACGGGTGTGCGGAGTGACTGCTAATGGGCACAGAGCTTCTTCTGGGGTGACACAAATGTTCTGGAATTAGGTAGTGGTGATGATTTCCCAACCTCGTGAATATACTAAAAACCAATGGTGAATTTTATACTTTGTCCATTATATCCCAATTAAAAATTTTTTTTGAAAAAGAGACTAAAACCAAAGGATATTGTAGACTTCTCAGGCTCACATGGAATATGCATAAAAGTACCATCCCTTCCTCCCTGAAATAGACAGTTGTTTATGGAGTATCTACTGTGTGCCCGGCACTGTCCTGGGTGTTAGGCATGGGTCTATTAATATTTTCCAAGCAAATAATGTGGAGCAAAGGACATAGACAAATCCTTGTCCCCATGGAGCTGACCTTGTGGGGTGAGATGAAGAGCATGATAAGTAGTGACTTACAGAAAATATTAACAGTTGTTAAGTACTATGGGGGAAACAGAAGAGCTAAGGAGAATGGAAGGGCATGGGCGGGGGAGGCGCATATTGGAATTTTAAGTAGGAGCATAAGCTGGCCTCCCTGTGAAGGTGGCCTCTGAACTGAGACTTGCTGGAGGTGAGCTTTCAGGTAGGGAGACTAGCCAGGGACATGGTCTGTGGAGGGAACATGGAAGAGGTAAGCACAGCTGGCACGAAGCAGGCAATGGGGATAGCAGGAGGAGATGAGGTGAGGAGCTAGGTTGTCACATTGTGTGGGGCTTGGGGTCGTTCTGTAAGACCTTTGGCTTCTACCCTGAAGGAGAGGGGAATCCCTTCCTCACCAAGAGAAGGCAGAACACATGACTGAGGAGGAGCAATTCATTGCCTGGGCATCAGGGACATTGGGGAAGAGTTATTTGTGTGATTTCAGAGCTGCCAGGAGGGAGGGTAGCAGCATGACTCCAGGAGGTGACAGCTAGAGAGATTCAACGCAGCCACTGCAGGACCCAGCAGTGGGCACTGCAGGGACTTGAAGCCCCACACTGTGCTATACTGGCCTAGGGGAGGAGAGGCCTGCTGGAAAAAGCTGACGTGTGGCTCTCGTTCCTGATGGTGCCCCAGGGAGCATGGAGGCTTTGGAAAGGAAATATAACACAGCAGGGGAAGGTGCATTCTGCTTCTTGGGGAAGTTTGTTTCATTAAAAAAAAAAAAAAAAAGGAGTCTTATGAAATTTTTTTGCTCTAGGTCAGGATGTGAATAACATGAAACTGATCTTTAAAATAAATATTGACAGATGTCCAAGGAAGAACTACAAAGTTCAATATTGATCCCTTGTTCATCCAACTTCCTGGGATTGAAAAGTCCTGGAAAGAGGAGTCTCCTCCTCCCCGACTAGAGAAGCCCTTGGGGAGCTGATGTGTTGTTTACTCCCTCTGCCACCCCACTTTGCCCCCATTTCGGCATCAGTCTTGGTGCGTGCAGGCATGCCAGCACCTGCCCAGTGTGGCCTCCTGTGGCTGGCTTTGCCGGGTAGCAAGTTCATTCAGGACTGACTTAACAGGATATCTCACCTAGGAGGACACCTGGCCATGTTTTAACTCCTGGTTCATCCATTTTTTTTTTTGAGATGGAGTCTCACTCTGTGGCCCAGGCTGGAGCGCAGTGGCATGATCTCATATCCCTGCAACCTCGACCTCTTGGGTTCAAATGATTGTCCTGCCTCGGCCTCCCTAGTAGCTGGGACTACAGGCATGTGCCACCACACCTGGCTAATTTTTGTATTTTTAGTAGAGATGAGATTTCTCTATGTTGGCCAGGTGGGTCTCAAACTCCTGACCTCAAGTGATCTGCTGGCCTCGGATTCCCAAAGTGCTAGGGTTACTGGCATGAGCCACCACACCTGGCCGATCAATTCTTGTTATTTGTTTACAGGGTTTAACTGCATATTTCTTACTAGAATCAACTTTTGATACTGCTTTGAATTTTGCAAACAGTGAGTTTTCAAAAAAAAAGCAGGGGGAATGAAATTGGATTAATAATCTTTTCTAAATTAGCTACTTTTGAACTCTAGCCAGACACTGGGAGGCTGGATGGTCCTTTTGAATCTAGCAAGGCAACAGAAGTACTGTGTTCCTTAAGTGCACTGTTAGAAGAGATAGGTGCAATTCCAAAATTGAATGCTGCCTGTCTTTGGGGTTTGGCATATATTATACACAGTATAATTTTATATATTTTATTTATAAAATAAAATATATAACAGTATATATTTTATTTATAAAATAAAATATATAACAGTATATATTTTATTTATAAAATCTATATAACTCTATTTTATTTTTAATATATAACAGTATATATTTTATAACAGTGTATATTTTATTTATAAAATAAAATATAAACTATCAAATAAAAATAAAAACTAAGTAGGGAAGTCCAGAGTCAAAACCCAGCTCAGCCCGATCCCAGTGGGCACAGATCAGCAAATTTCTCCCACCTTTTTGATGTCTTCACACTCTTCTGAGGAGCTAGGAGGGTATCTGTGGGTGGCTGTATAGGAAGCAAAGTCTGCCTGTAGTTTTATCAAAGCCTCTTCACGCTCCAGAACCTGCAAATAAGCTTAGGTCCGTTATGCTGGATGATCAATGGAACATGCTTGTTACCATGACTATTATTTCAGAGTGTTCCTTTCTGCAGCATAAGTTTGTTGTAGAATTATACAATTCATCAGGCACTCCCTGTGGGGTAGGGAGAAGGAATTAAGCTCCCCATCTTAAATCAAGGTTCTCTAAGGCATATGTGATTTGTCTCAAGTTCATCAATGCCCAAACTTGCACTCTCCCCTAAACCTCCATGTGGTCCATTTGATGAGGCAGAAGAAGGTTCTTCAGGGGCTGTGATGGAGAGATGTACCTAATCTATCCAGAGGACAGGATACAAAGTTTGAGAATTAAAGAAGAAATAAGAAATAAACAGAATTTTTCCTTATAGAGTATGTGACTGTGTGTATACTTTTTTTTTCCAAAAATTAAAAAATATGAAATTTTGGTTTTAATTTTATGCTTTTTTGAATTTGTTGAAAATAATTCAAACAAAACCCAAGCATGGAAAAGTGAAACCCCCTCTTCACTTATTCTCCCCTCTCTCACTTCCACTAAGGGAGAGGACAGTATTGAAAATTTAGTTTGTACTTATATATTAGCATTATGATCAGAGATAAAACAAAAGTACGATGAACTATATATGGGACTCTGCAACTTATTCTCGACAATAAGTCACAAACCTACTTCCATGCAGCTCTTACAGATGTGCTTAGTCCTTTTTACTGGTTGCATATTATTCCACAATAGGAATATCTCTTTAATTATTTCTCTTAATCTCTTTAATCATTTCCCCACTGATGGGCATTTAGGTTGTTGTGTGAGAGATTTTAAGATTCTTTATCTCAAACTATGTGGGTGGGGAGATGCATATCATGGAGAATATGGATGAAGGTGAGGTAAGTACATATAACACATTTGAGGATTCTTGGTGAAAAAGATTAATTTAGGAGACTCTTCGTCCCTCCTTTTTTTCCCCATGTCTTGATTGTGGGTCTCTCAGAGACATGTTCTAGAAGGCACTTACCAAAGCATTACTGCAGGCCAGCTTATTTCGAAGTTCTTGAATGAGATCATCCTGTTCAGAGACTTTTTGCCAGACTTCAGACAGTCGTTTCAGGGTCTCCTGATGCTCTTGAATCATGCAAGGAGAAGTGTATATCCGCACCTTTGAATGATCACCCTTGTTCTCAGGGTCCTGGGAGATTTAAAAATTAATGGGTTGGTTTTGTTTATAGTTTGTGAGTTATTTCAGAATTCCATGAGCATGGAAAATCTCTAGACCTACATTGTAAAGGTCTATGTTCATATACGGAAATCATGGTTTCCTTAACAAAAGAAAAAATATTAACTAGTGCATATACATGGTAAAAAGTCCAAATGGTTCACAAGAGTAGACACTGAAAGGTAAGTCTTCCTACATCCTAACTATGACTCAAGCCCCCTTCTCGATGACAATCCATGTTACCAGCTTTTTGGATATCATTTGGAAATATTTTATGCATATTTGTATATGCATATGTGGATAGGCATATAATTCTCACTTTTTTCTTAAAATGAGTCTTTTTTTTTTTTTTTTTTCTGAGACAGAGTCTCACTCTGTCATCCAGGCTGGAGTGCAGTGGCGCTGTCTTGGCTCATTGCAATGTCCACCTACTGGATTCAAGCGATTGCCCTGCCTCAGCCTCCCAAGTAGCTGGAATTACAGGCATGCACCACCACACCTGGCTAATTCTTTGTATTTTTACTAGAGACAGGGTTTCACCATGTTGGCCAGGCTGGTCTCGAACTCCTAGGCTCAGGTGATTCACCTGCCTCAGCCTTCCAAAGTGCTGGGATTACAGGCAAAAGCCACCATACTCGGCCAACAAATGAGTCTTTCATATAGTATTTAAACATCGTGTTTTCACTTGACAATTTATTTATGATAGTTTTCATATTGTTACTTGTTGATCTGTCTTACTCCTCTTTTAAAATGAATTTCAAATTACACAAGTAATTATATTTATATTGTATCTCTAAAACATTGTAACACTACAGGTAAATTTGAATTTTTCTTTGACCATCGCTTCTAATTTCATTCTCTCTCTACTTTCCAGAGATGACAGTCTGTGCACATTTATCTAGAACTTTTTACTATATTTACATAATATAAATGAATCTGTACAATATAAATTATGTTGGCTTTTTAAAACATAAAAAAATTTGTTTACTCAGCAAGATGTGTTAGAGATTTGTCAATGGTAGTAGTAGATGTGCTTCTATCTTGTTCTTTTAAATTGCTTTTAAATGTGTTGATCTGGTTTCCTACTGATGAGAATATAGGTTGTTTCCACATTTTTTTTTTCTGAAACAAAGCTGAAAGGAATGCTTTTGCATATAAATCTTTGAGTATTTATTCTGGTAATTGTGTCCATTAAATTCATAGCAGTAGGACTGCCAGATCATATTTAAACTTGGATATTGTACTATTGTCCTTCAAATAAATTGTACCACTGAACACTGTCACCAACATGAGTATGGCTGTTTTCCTAGAACCATGTTTGTTTGTTTGTTTTAAATGTCTTTCCCTAGATCATTTGAAATCATGCATGAATGTTGCTGCCCTCTTACTGGTTTGCATTCATAAGGGGGTAAATTGATATACACGGTAAAAAAAAAAAAAGAGCAAAGCATTCTAGTTTGGATGGTAGATCATTTCCCCATTAAACTTGTCTCCCTAACCAGGCTTTTTCAGGCAAAGTTAGGAGTAGTTCATGTTCACTGAGCATGGAAGCCTCCCATGAGCAAGCTGCAGGAAGACCGGGGGAAATCTAAAACGGACTGTAAATAATGTTCATGTAGATAATGCAGAGTCTGTGGGGGCAAATGACTGGAAAACATAACAGCAAAGCTACCAAGGAAGAAGATATCTACAGGTTTCAATATGTTCTTAATACTACGGGATGAAAAATGGAAATTAATTTAAAAGGAATAGGAGAAAAGATTCTCTGAAGTGAAGAAAAATGTAGATCTTCAGACTAAAAGGGTTAGTGGTGTTGAGTGGTTTAAGAAATAAACTAAAACACCCTGAGCCTAAAAACCTCCAGTGTTCAAAGAGATAAAACAGGTAATCTACAAAAAATGAGAAATACATTGACATCTAACAATGCATCTTTAGTACTGGGTGGTACAAGGAAATGCAGCAGTATCTTCGAAGACTTAAGGGAAGGTGCTATTGAAAGTTTGTATATCCAGCCAAACTAGCATTCAAGGATGATGACAGAAAAAACCTCGTTCAGACATGGAAATATTGAGAAATTCTGCCACCAACAATTGTTTCTGAAAGAATTACGAAGGAATTATTTACAGCAAAAGGAAAACTCCAAGAATGCAGAAGAGATGAAGGGACTGCCGAGCACAGTAATGAGAAACAGTTGGGTTTATTTGTAATATTAAAGAAATAGATATTTCCTATGTAATATAAACAGTTCCAGAGATTTAAAAGAAGGTAAAAATCTTTCCAACTCATATATTAGAATGGCATAATCCAGACACCAATATGCGAGGAAAGTACAAAAATTTAAGCCATCAAACTAATCTCGTTTCTGAAAATGGATGCAAAAAATAAACTTTTAACAAATGTAGTAAAACACATTAAAATTAATAATATATTATGATCAAGTAGGATTTATTCCAGGAACATAATTGTTCGATATATGAAAATCTATTCGTGTAATCTGCTTCATTGAAGGATAGATGCTAATAAAAACATCTGATAAAATTCAACGTTCATTCCTAATAACAATTCTTGATAAGCTAAATATAAACAGTTATACTTACAATTTGAAAAAGGCTATTAAAAAGAAGCCAAGAACAGGCATTATACTTAATAGTGAAATACTAGAAATACCTCCTTTAAAGTGAGGACCAAAGCAAAGAGGCCACAATTCTACATTGCTCTAGAGGTGCTGGTCAATGTGATAAGTTGGAAAACAAGTTGTGTAAATTTTGAAAGGGAAAGCAATTTAAGAAAATCCAAGACAGTCAAGTGAAAATCTGGTAAAAGGGCTCAGTAAGGTGGCAGGAGAAGAGAGAAGTTTTCCTATATATCAGTAATAATCAATACAATTAAGCTGGGCATGGTGGCTCACACGTGTAATCCCAGCACTTTGGGAGGCTGAGGTAGGCAGATCACTTTAGGTTAAGGGTTTAAGCATAGCCTGGCCAACATGGCGAAACCCTGCCTCTGCAAAAATACAAAAATTAGCTGGTTGTGGTAGCACGCGCCTGTAGTATCAGCTACTTGGAAGGCTCAGGCAGAAGAATCGCTTGAACCCAAAACATGGAGGTTGCAATGAGCAGAGACTGCCTCACTGCACTCCAGACTGGGCGACAGAGTGAGACTCTGTCTCAAAAAAACATTAATAAAATTAAATGTATAAAAGATCCCATTTATAAAACCAGTAACACAGAACTATGTCTAGGAATAAACAGCAAGAAATATGTGAGATCTACAGAGAAAAGTACAAAATCTTACTGAAGGACACAAGAAAGCTTGCATAAAAGTAGAAATATGTCATGTTCCATAGGGCATGCTAATTTCCCCCAAATTAATACATAATTTGAAAGTTAGTCAACATAAATCTAAATTTCATTAAGAGAAGAAATAAAAAAATGGCCAAGAAAAAAATGGAAAGCGTAGAAGAGTGAAGGAGGACCTGTCCTAAAAAGAGCTATTAAAACAAGCTACCAGTTATGGTCACTAGAAAACTCTGACACTGGAGCAGAACCTAGCAAAAAGATAAAAAGAATACAGAGTCCAGAGAAGGTCCTGGATGCAGAAGAATCGGTTTGTGAGCTGGTACCTGAATCATTGTGGAAGGGTTGGGATGTTCAATAAATAAGGGACCACTGGAGATCCATTTAAATAATAAAATTAGAGCCTTATGTCATTATACATATAATATATATATTCCAGATGGACTAAAGATAAAAACATAAAAGTGCAAATTATAAAAGTGCTAATAGAATATACAATAAACTTTTACAATCTGGAGGGTAGTGAAGGCATTTTTAAGCAAAACATAAAACCTAGAATTTATAAAGAAGGAGTGATGGATTCAACTTCTTTTTTATAAAGAATTAAAATCTTCTGTATGATGAAAAATACCATTAATAAAGTAAAATGAAAAGTTACAGACTGGGAGAAAATATTTGCAACATATGTAATGAAGCATTATTACCTGTAATATATTAAGAATCGCCTATAAACAAATACAAAAAAGACTAACAACCCAGTAAAAAATGGGTTAACAAGGAATTCATAAAACAGAAATCCATATGACCAATATGCTTTTGAATAGTGCTCAATACTTCATTAGTGTGGTGGAGACTGCTGGGCCTTCCAGATCCCCTTTGGCGATGAAGGACTTACTGCCTTTCTGGGGGATTGTGTGGGCTGAAGAAAACTGCTTTGCCCAAGGCCAAGCACATCCCATAACTGATCAACATGGAGTCTTAAAGGCCAGCTCCCTTCCCTTCAATTTAGCAAGGCTCTGAAGGTTCATCCAGCCCGCTGCTCTGTGGGGTTGGCGGAGGCCTTTGTTGAGACTGCATCCCAGATTCTTCCTTTGCCCAACCTTGGTTTCCTCTCTTTCCTTTTACAGGTGTTAATACCAAGAGCTCTCCCAGAAATGTCCTGCACACTACTGTGTCCTAGAGTTGGCTTCTTGGGGAACCCAACCTGCAACTATTAGAACTAAGGCAACGAAAATTGTAACCAGTGAACGTTTTCCCCTTACCCATCAGGGTTTAGCACAATCTTAAAAGAATGAAAACATACAGTGCGGATGGGTATGGGAAAATACACTCTCTTAATTATTCTTGGTAAAAGTGTAAACTGGCAGAACCTTTTTGACATATAACTTAGAAGTATCTTTAAACAATAAAAATAAGCATATCTTTTGATCCAGCAATCGCATTTCAAGAATTATCGAACAGAAATAGGAAGGTAATTACAGCTTGTTTGTAAAAGAGAGGAAAACACAGGTCAGTAGGTGGTACATCCATACTACCAAATACAAGGTAGTAAGTAAATTAAGTTGTTAAGATGTGCATTTTAAGCTGGGCGTGGTGGCTCATGCCTGTATTCCCAGCACTTTGGGAGGCTGAGGTGGGCAGATCACTTTAGGTTAAGGGTTTAAGCACAGCCTGGCCAACATGGCGAAACCCTGTCTCTACTAAAAATACAAAAATTAGCTGGGCACGGTGGTGTGCGACTGTAGTCTCAGCTACTCTAGAGGCTGAGTTGGGAGAATCACTTGGACCTGGATGGAGGAGGCCACAGTGAGCCAAGATCACGCCACTGCATCCCAGCCTTGGCAACAGAGCAAGACCCTGTCTCAGGAAAAAAAAAAAAAATGTGCATTTTAAAAGTAAATTGCAAAACCACATTGATAAATAACCACTTAGATAAAAAGAACCTCCTGCCCATTTATATATGTAACTGTATATAGCACAAGCCCCTAGCGGATTCTCAACACATGAGTCAAGTGATTACCTAAGAAGGAGAGAATGATGGGGAAGAGGTTCAACGCAGACTTTCATATTTAATCTCTGCACTTCTGTCTAGAGAGCCTATAATAATTGTATTGCTTGTGGAATTAAAACAGCAATTAAAAGAAAAAAGAAACAAATCAGGTGTTTTGACTCTTCTTTTCCCATGTTTCATAGCTTTTTCCTCCTATTTGATCCTGAAATTGTGGTTTTCATGAGTACTGTGGTCTAGTAGAGCCCCCTGCCGGACCCCCATGAGAACCAAGAAAAGATTGGACCTTGTTAGGGACAGTTGCGGGTATTAACATATGTGAAACGAAGAGGAAGGAGGCAGGGTTGAGCAGAGGGAGATGAGCTGTGATGCAATCTCAACAGAGGCTTGGCTAACCCCACGGGGAACTGCGGGCTAGAGCTTATTTGGTAATTCTCTTTCGGCCTTATTTGAAGTGATGGCTGTTTGTATTAATTAAAGAGTCTCAAAATTTGAAGAAGCAATCTTTCAGGAGATGTGAAAGCTGGAGGTTCAAAAGCTGAGGTCTACAAAATCAAGGGCAGGAAGTGATATCTGGGTTGAGGTTTGGGTTTCCAGTGGAGGAGGCTGGGACTCTCTGAGGGGACCACTTGGGAGCATGTCCACTTGCCTGGACTGAATGGCATGGCTTAAGTCCTACCTGACCAATGATCCCACTGAGCTCCCCCTCCAACATCTTCACTTGGCATTCTAGTAATTCGACGTTGCTTAGGGAAGACTGGTATTTATCCCTGTAGAGGCTTAAGCTCCTTTCTAGGGAGGCGATCTTGTCCCCGGCCAAGGCGAGTTGCTCTTGTGCCAAATGGAGTTTCTCCTCTGTGTTCTTGTTGTGATTTCCCATTTCCTCCTCATAGAGAATCACCTGTAGGTGTAGGAATAAATCCATATTGAGCCCATGGAATCATCTAACAAGGAAAGGATGTGGTTGTAAGGCTCCCTGCAGAGAAGTCTTGTATCTAAACCAGAAGACCAGATGAACAGAAGAGAGGCTGCACAGATCTGAAAGCTTCAGCATGTATCAAGATGTTAATGATTAGAAATAAAAAAGATGGCCATAGTTAGAGGTAAGCTCCCTCAAGGCAGGGACCATATTTATTTCCCATCCTGCCCAGCATGTGGTAGGAACTCAACAGATACTTGCTAGTTGATTAATAGGAATGAATTTGTATAGCTCCATTTTTTTAAAGGGCTTGAAATGCCAGTATTCTTTCTTTCCCAGGCATTCTCTAGAGGTCAAATTTAGAAAATGTAGACTTCCTCCTGCACACAGGACCATGTCAACCAAGTTTCCAAGAGACAGGTGGGGACCATGACCCAAAGTTCCTCTGGGATTTGCACAGTCCTTATTTAGATTTCTTTTCTTCCTCAGCAAGTAGTCAACCAACTGACATATTTATTGAAAGCTCATGAGCATTGTGTTAAGTGCAGAGGAGATATATACGTATATTAGACATATGCTCACCCCTCAAAGAATTTAAAACTTTCACAATCTTGGGGAGATAAGATTTAAAATGAGTAAACAGCTGTAGGTAGTTGAGTGTGCTAAATAGTGTGACTTGAATTTTATGTGTTGAAGGAGTTAACAGCAGAATAGTCATTAAGGAAGGCTTCATATTAGTTCAAATAATCCAACATAGAATGCTGATAGAACACGTTCCATTAGTTGAAGCTAATTATAATTGCTGCTTGTCATTTGAGATTCTTCTTAGGAAAGGATAACTTCGTGTAAGGTGTCCACTAAGTAAGAAGAGGAGAGGAATATTTTATATCCAAATATTGTAACTGAAGCTGTCAGTGGCCAGCCCATATCCCCTGGGCGCTTGCTATTTCTTTGCAAGCTAACCCCATTCCCACTGCAAGCTTATTCAACTCTGCCCGAGGGCTTCTCTGACCACAGGAGCCCTTACAGTCAGAGAGGCAAGACAGGGTAGATTAGAAGGTCTTGGGAGTTAATGCCCTCAGGAGAAGCCCTCAACCAATGACTGGGGTGTGTTGGTGGGTTCACTCTGAGGCATGTTCTACACTGTCTCTAAGGGACTGAGCAAGCAGTCTGCTCAATACTGATGTCCTTTATGTGCTTCCTGTTCTTCTTGACTCACTCGCTCATGTGCTTCCAGGAATCATCTCTGGAATTAGTTACTTGTATTTATATCCTTGTCTTAGAGTCTGCTGCGTAGTGAACCCAACCTTAGAAGTTTGATGAGGCTGTGTGAGACATTGGGGGAACTTGGCAGAATGCTAAAGTGATTTTCTCAATGCTTTCCCGGTTTGGGATCTTAAGTGACTGTTATTTGCCAAGTCCCATATCTACTCTCCTACTCTTCCTTAGTAATAGAACCTTGACTCTATTGGGGGCAGCAATGCACCTCCTAAAACACCACATTTCTTAGGCTTCCTAGAAAGTAGCTGTTGCCATGTGACTAATTCTGGTCAGCAATAGTTAAGTAAAGGTGTTGTGGCTTCTGGAAAGTGTCCTTAAAAGGAGGGGAATGTGTCTTTCCCTTCCACCCTTGTCACCTGGTCCCCTGGCCATTTATCTGGATTATTTGGAACAAGGATGTGGCTGGGCATGGTGGCTCACGCCTTCAATCCCAGCACTTTGGGAGGCTGAGATGGGCAGATCACCCGAAGTCAGGAGTTGAAGACCATCCTGGCTCACATGGTAAAACCCCATTTCTACTAAAAATACAAAAATTAGCTTGGTGTGCTGGCATGTGCCTGTAATCCCAGCTACTCAGGAGGCTGAGACGGGAGAATCACTTGAACTCGGGAGGCAGAGGTTGCAGTGAGCTGAGGTTGCACCACTACACCCCAGCCTGGGCAACAAAGTGAGACTTTGTTTCAAAAGAAAGGATGTGATGGTTGGAGGTCCAGCAGGCACCTCAGGAGACTTGGAGAATGGAAGCCTTGAGCTGATGATGGTGGAACCCAAGGATAGATCCTTAGGTATCTGATGACACATGCAGTTGCCATGACAGCAACAGACCACCTGTCTTTGACCTTTTTACATATGACATAGAAATAAAGTATCTTATTTATTTCCTGTTACATGCAGCTAAATAGAATCCCAACTCGTTCAAGGTTGCTTTATCCAGGTTGGACCTTTTGTTTCAGTTGTCGTGAACCAGAAAGTTTTAACACAGCTCTGCGCTATCTTTTTAAAAAACTATGTTTGTGCTCACAGGTTTAGTCACAGATTATATTTGTAGGATTAGGACAACCTTTCTCTGTTCCTCCCACTCTCAGTTCTTTTCAGCAAATTTTCACTAGATCATATTTCCTTTTTAAAAAGTCGATGGTCTTTAAGGTCCCTCCTGAAGTCCTTGAATTTAGTCCTTAAGCAACAGCACCATCCAAAACACTCCTTGAATTTTTTTTTCTTCTCTGTCCTTCCAAGAGGAACCTAACTCCTTGCAATTTTATCTTTAAATCTAAAGAAAGAAAATGGCAAGGGAAACCCCAGGATGGAAGAGTGTGCCTGTCCCATCACTTAGAACCCATGGTTTATTGTACTGCTCAAGTGGTTTCAGTGCTGCAGCTTTGGGTCCTTGGAATTTACTTGGGATTCTACAGAGATGCTACTCTTTGGCTTAGAAAATACCACCCTGGAACATGAAAGGGAATTAATACCCTAAATATACTTAAGTGAAATCTATATGATCTAAAACCTCAGTCTGAAAAAATTATCTAGTACTCTCAATGACTGACCTGCATTCAATGTCTGGTTATGTTATCTACTGTGTAGGTGCCAGGAATTTATATGTTATCAAGACCTTATTTTTCTAAAAATGGTGGATTTAATGTATCTTATACCTCTTTTGTAACCCTCAGAGACCTACAGTCTTTTGCATTTAAATTGCAATGGTAATAGATGGAGAAGATGGACTTACACACACACACACGCACGCGCGCACGCCTGCATATACACTCCACATATTCCACATGTATGAATACTGTAGCTCTCACCCAGTTATGCCATTCAGTTTAGTTTCCTTCTGCTCAGCTTCAAAAAGATCAAGAATTAAAGAAGGAAGCTTTATAAAACCTGCTCGAGAAGTTGCAAAGCTCTCCTAAGTCCAGCATCTGCTTTCTAGTGGGCTTGGTCTGATTTCTGCAGGTACCTGAGAATGTGGGGTATTTCCATGGTTAATCTGTCTATACCTCATCTTCTTTCAGTTTGCAGTGATGGTGCAGAAGAACCAGGTCGGAAGTCTGCTTCTCTAGGATGGACTGATACTGCAGGAGAGAACAGTAAGAAGTCTGCAACTCCTCTGTGCGAAACTCCAGTTCTTGTTGAAGGGCCAGCAGTTTTTTCTTCAGTTGCTGGAGTTGTCTCAGATGACACTGTTTACTGGACCCAAACTCCATCTCCGACTCCTCGAATGCTAATGCCTGTGCTTGCTTCTTGTTCTACAATAGACACAGCATATACAGAAAAGGATTTAGATTATAACTGAGGATTTATTCATTCCTGGATTTTTTCATTTGTTCAATCTTTTACATCCATCTATCCATCTTTTTATCTACAGAAAACTTATTAAACATTTCACTCTATTCACAAGGAAATGTATCACTTAGCATTCCCACTCTGTAAGAATAATTCAATAGAAGAAAAATAATGGTTCTTATCCATCGAAATCTTATTATTTAGGTCAGAAGAAAAAACATATACATAAAGGACCTAGGGAGATATGTGTAATAATATGCTGATGTGTTGCCTTCCCATATAAAGATAACACAAGTGACTTGGGAGGAAATGGACTTCTGGCCACAGTTCTTGGACTAAACTTGGCATTAAAAATCCCTGGGTAAAGGAGCATTGCAAGGAGTCAAGAGTGAATTATTGGAATGAAATGCTGGAAAATGAGAGGCAGAGATATTGTTCAGGTACATCTGGGCACTGACTCTGTCTCCTTCTCCTGAAGGAAGATGTGACTTTGCAGATGCTACTCTGTGTGTGTGTGTGTGTGTGTGTGTGTGTGTGTGGTGTTAACTCTTCCTGCTAATCCATAATTTACCTGAAATGCTGCTTGTCTCATCCTACATTTTCATTCCTTTATTCATTAATTCATTCATTAGACACAGGCTAGGCACCTATGTTGTGCCAGGTATTCTGCTGGTAGGACACATCCCTGAGTTGATGATGCATCTATATGTTCTGTATTTTCCATCATCCCTTATGGCAGTGACATGTGAGGGAAAGGTAGATAAAGAGGTAGCCTGTAGGCAGTCCTTAGTGTCCAACCTTGCTTATTCTCCTCCTACTCATTCTTTAAGATTCTGTTTAAATCCTGCTCTCCCTCCTGTTTTTTCCCTTCAAAGCTATCTTTGCTCCAATACCACAGATTTTACTAGCATGTCCTTAATGTGGTATTCTATATTTTGTCTGTAACTATTTCTGTGCATTTTAACTTCTAATTAGATTATAAACTCCTGGAGGGCAGGGTCATGTCTGCTCTTCTGGGGCCTAGATTAGAGATTCATACATACCTATGTATTGAATGAAAGAAATGAAAATAGAGTCCAAGTAATCTCATTGGCTCCTAAGGCTTTGAGCCTGTGGCCTTGGCCTCATTAACAGAGTCCTTCTAATGCAATGGCTTTCAAATTTTTAAATTAACTTTTAAAAAACAGATTTATTGAGGTATACTTTATATATCATGAAATGCAACCATTGTTAAGTGTGCAATTCAATGACTTGTAATAAACTTATAGAATTGTGTGACCATCATTACAATCCAGTTTTAGAACATTTCTGTCATCCCCCAAAATTTCCTCATGCCCCTTTTCAGTCACTCCTTCTCTTTCCCCCAGCTCTAGGCAACCACAAATCTGCTTCCTGCCTCTATGGATTTTCTGCCTTTTTTAGACGTTTCACATACGGAACTGTTTAATATATAATTTTTTGTCTTCTTTAACTTAGCATTTTTTTTTTTAATTTGAAGATAGAGTTTTCCTCTGTCACCCAGGCTGGAGTGTACTGGTGCAATCTTGGCTCACTGCAACCTCCACCTCCCTGGTTCAAGTGATTCTCATACATCAGCCTCCCTACTAGCTGGGATTATATGTGAGCACCACCACACCCAGCTAATTTTTGTATTTTTAGTAGAGATGGGGTTTTGCCATGCTGGCCAGGCTGGTCTCCAGCTCATGGGATCTGCCTGCCTTGACCTCTCAAAGTGCTGGGATTGCAGGTGTGAGCCACTGTGTCCAGCTGCATAATGTTTTAGAGGCTCATCCAGGTTGCAGCAAGAATCAGTATCTGATTCCTTTTCATTGCTGAACAGTATTCTGTTGTATAAATATACCACATTAGGTTTATCTGTTCACCAGTTGATGGATATTTGGGTTGTTTCAGTTTTTGGCTATTATGAATACTGCTGCTGTGAACATTAACCATATACTAGCCTTTGTGTGGGTATATTTTCATTTAATTAATGTGCTCAGCAAATATTGTGGTACAACTACTACATCAAGCACTACACTAGCTAATGGGGATATAACAGTGTAAGAAACAGACAAAATCCCCAGCTTTGTGGAGTTCGCATCTAATACGTGGAGAGAGAAAACTAAGCAAGTATATATACATAGTGTATTAGAAGGTCAAAACGCAATCGGTGAGAGTGAAACAGGGGAGGAGGATGCGGAATGCCAGGATGGAGGAGGTTATATTTTTGAATTAAATGTTTGCATGGAGGACCAAAGTGTGAAGCTGACACTTAAACCAAAACTTGGAGGCAAAAGAAGGCATCTGGAATGCTCCAGGGACAGAGAGCCCTGGAGGTGGAAGCATACCTGGTGGTATTTGAGGAGCCCCAGGGGTTGCAGCCACTTTTTTTTCTGGCTGGAGCAGAGAAAGTAAGGGGGAAAGGTGTGCCTGATGGAGTCAGATAGGAAAAGGAGGTGAGCTCTTTAGGATCATATAGCCATTCTCGAGACTTTAACTTCTTTTGGGGAGATGAAAGACCATTGGAAGGTACTGAGCAGAGGAGCAAATGATCTCCCTGAGCTTTTACAAAGGACACACTCACTGTTTATTGGAAATCAGCTCTAGGCCGGCAAAGACAGAAGCAGGGAGACCAGATAGGAGGCTACTTCAAAAACCCAGACAACAAAGGATGATGGCGTGGACCAAGATGGTAGCAATGGAGGGTAAGAGAAGTTGTTGGGTTCTAGATGTATCTTGAAATGACAGGCCACAGGATTTGCTGCCGGGTTACAGGTTGGATTGTGGGACATGATAGTCATCCATAACAGATGATACCAGGGTTTTGGTTTGAATAACTGGAGAGATGGATTTTAATGAGATTAATTCAGTAAGAGCTGGGACCTGAAAGACAGAAAATCTCTATTGACAGTGGTGGTGGCAGCACAGAGAAGGTAAAGGAGGCTCAGCCCAGTGCAGAGCCAGAAAGATGATAGTTGATTGTGTCAGTACAATCTGAATGACCCTTTCCAGGAAAGTGTCTCATCCTAAGTGTCTCAGAATTGAGAAGACAGACAGAGAAAATGGACCCACTATGGTCACCAGGCAAAAGAAATTCTAGGCAAAGACACACTGAACTCTTGACCTGAATATCCAGTGTATGTCACTGGAGGAAAGTTGATGAGACTTCTTTTCTAAGCTGAGCAAAGCTAAATTTTGTATTTACTTTGTGTAGCTATAATTGCCAGCATTTATATTCAATGTTGTTGTTAAACGCTCTCAATTTTTTCAAGATAAGAATATTGCTATTCTCACAACTCATCTGTGAATGATGTCTGGAGAGAAGGGAGTTGGGAGTAGTGTGTGTAGTGTGTACATGAACGTGTGTGTATGTGCATATTCATAGATAGAGGGGCTTCTGAAGAGCCTGAGTCCTCCTGCTTACATAGTAAGTTAGGAGGGTGGGGAGCTACTTGGAAAGAAACATGATCACAAATAAGTACTTAACATGGACAGAATTAATGCAAAGGGGTGAACATCCTGGAGTAGGGTTAATTCAGAAGGGCTTATTTTAGTATATACCCAATAAAATGCTTATCAGGCCAGGCATGGTGGCTCATCCCTATAATCCCAGCACTTTGGGAGGCCAAAGTGGGAGGATGGCTTGAGATGAGAAGTTCAAGACCAGCCTCGGCAACATAGCAAGACCACTATCTCTACAAAAAATAAGAAAATTGGCTGGGCACAGTGGCTCACGCCTGCAATCCCATCACTTTCAGAGACCAAGGTGGGTGGATCATGAGGTCAAGAGATTGAGACCATCCTGGCCAACATAGTGAAACACTGTTTCTACTAAAAATACAAAAATTGGCTGGGCTTGGTGGTGTGCACCTGTAGTTCCAGCTACTCGGAAGGCTGAGGCAGGAGAATCGTTTGAACCCAGGAGGCAGAGGTTGCAGTGACCTGAGATCGTGCCACTGTACTCCAGCCTGGCAAGAGTGACACTCTGTCAAAAAAAAAAAAAAAAAAAAAAAGG